AGCAGTTAACTCCATAAAGAAGGTGGTGCTGAATGTTATATTTCAGAGGACAACTCTAATTTTTTCTTCCAAATGGATTAGGTATTAACACGATTATACATAAGTGTGCATGCAGTATCTTATTTTGTCTGATCATTCTTGGCTTTCCAAAAAGCCATGTATCACTGCTACTTATAAAACCAAAATAAATCCCAATATAGTAATAAAAGCTAACACAGATTTCTCAAAGATTCAGAAATTCACATTGAATTTCCTAGAGACTCCTCATCTAAAATACCCTTTCCAATCTATGAGCATATTCAATTAAATATGATTCAACAAATTTGGGATTCAGAAAATACAGTCACTCTATATAGAAGGCCAGTTGAGCAGCTATAATGGGACCACAGGTTGTCCGAGAAGGCAAAATGCTGACGATCCTGAAAGGACCAAAGCTGTTACCCTTGCCCATTTGCCAGGGATGCCAAAAATCTCAGTCCCAGAGACCAAAGTTGGGTCACTGCTATCCTGGCCCCTCAAGCCCACCGAGCCTGGAACTGATCCCATCTCAAAGGTCAGACATGAGGCTTAGTACAGGGGCAGCCCTCCCTGAAAGAGATCACATACTTTGCTTTGTTAGCCCATCATAGTGGGTTCACAAGCATCCCTTGAAAGGGCAAACAGGCTGGTAAGACCTCTTTACACAAAGAAGCTGATCCATTAAAAGATGTGAATCTATAGGAAAACCACAAAAAATGTTACCGGTCACGGAGGGGAGGTCATTTGCCGGAGTCTTTCGTGGGTTCTTTACTTCAGCTTCATATAGAAATAAGAAGCTGGGAGGGGCCAGCGCTGTGGCGTAGTGGGTAAAGCCACTGCCTGCAGTGCCCGCATCCCATATGGGGCACCAGTTTGAGCCCCGGCTGCTCCACTTCCTATCCAGCTCTCTGCTATAGCCTGGGAAAGCAGTGGAAGATGGCTCATGTCTTTGGGCCTCTGCACCTGCGTGGAAATCCAGAAGAAGATCCTGGCTCCTGGCTCCCGATTGGTGTAGCTCTGGCTATTGCGGCCAATGGAGGAGTGAGCCAGAGGATGGAAGACCTCTCTCTCTGCCGCTCCTTCTCTCTTTGTGTTACTCCGATTTTCAAATAAATAAATCTTAAAGAAGCTGGGAAACAATTTTCAGGGAGAAGCATTCACTTTATTTCCATTGCAAAGCGACAGTGAAGCGTCTAGTCCAAGAGGAGACCAGACAGAGTGTGCAGGATTTTTAAGGCATTACTGTCTTTTCATTGTGTCATTCTACGGAGGTGTCTATTGGACAGGGTTTTCATGTTGATTGGCTTGGAGCTGCCCATGAAGATAGTGGGGGGTCTCTTGGAGACAGCCTGATTTCCCTTGGGGGCTCAGCCCCCTCCTCTGCTAGCTCTAGGTGGGAGCTTGCAACTGACTTACAGCTGTGGTTAAAACCACAGGCTCACACATACTGAACAGGAGGCTGCAGTGGGGGAGATGCCAGCAGCTCTGGAAACAAGCTTTGCGGCCACAACTTGCAGCCTGCTTGTGCAGCACATTCTACCCACATCGGAGGGGCCCAAAGACTCAGCTCCACAGGACAGCCTCAAAAAGCATCACTTGCATAGCCTTTTGTTCACCAGACCTGGGCCCTCAGGGGTGAAATGGACACCCTAAACAACTGCTCCATAATATCGGGTGCTCAGCCCTCTGCTTCTTTTATCTGAGCAACCAACACAAAGGAGACCCCAAGCAAGTGCTGCCATCAGCCACGTGATATCAAACAGGGAAGCCTCATTTCTTCACACCCTATTTTGCCAGAGTTAACATCTGCAATGCATTTTGAAGTCTCAAAACAAGGTATTGTATATAAACTAACCGTATTTATCATTAATCCAAAATAGGTCAAATGTAAGAAATGGGAGTGAAGAACATTTTTTGAGTTCTACCTCTGAGATCAAACAAGAATTCTTGAAGGAATATCCAAACACCTGCTTCCTTTTGCCCTCTCTGAGATATAATTTCTAGCAACTTGTAAGGCCCCAAAAGTCACAGAAGCCCCTGTCTTCCCATTCTTCCAGAAGGGTATTCACTCAGAGACATTTTCCAGACAATGAGGATTCCTTGCAAATCTGAATTGGGTTTTGCAAATTTGGGGAGCGTTAGGAGCGGTAGACTTGTTCCTGAGTAAGGAAAGAGATGTCCTAGGGAGACCTGCTGAGGAAAAGTCTGTGGCGGGAATGATGAGAATAAATAAAAATCCAGTGCCGTGTAGGCTCTCAAGGCTCTAGCTAAGGAATGTGTCAGTGGTTGGTCATTTTGCCTCGGGCCCCTCCATGGCCCTGCAGGGCATTGTAGGTATCTGATCTTTACTTAAATTGTGGCAGTCTGTTCACCATGTGACTTTGTGTTGATTTTGATTTACTAAAGCACTTCCTTAAAAATGATTTGTCTTTTTTTTTTTTTTTTTTGACAGGCAGAGTGGACAGTGAGAGAGAGAGACAGAGAGAAAGGTCTTCCTTTTGCCATTGGTTCACCCAACGCTGATCCGAAAGCAGGAGCCAGGTGCTTCTCCTGGTCTCCCATGGGGTGCACGGCCCAAGCACTTGGGCCATCCTCCACTGCGCTCCCTGGCCACAGCAGAGAGCTGGCCTGGAAGAGGGGCAACCGGGACAGAATCCAGCACCCGACCGGGACTAGAACCTGGTGTGCCAGCGCCGCTAGGTGGAGGATTAGCCTATTGAGCCGCGGTGCCGGCCCAAAATGATTTGTTTTGACTACTGAGTTTTTTGACAACTTCCTTGTGTCTTGTGCCCAATACAAGTGCCCCACTCAGTTGGCCCCACTCCTGTGGTCCCCTGTGGGACGTTTGCCACTCCCTGGATGGAACACAGAGGTTAACAGAATTGTCTTTTTTTGTAAGGAATAAAATCAGCAACCACCAAAAACAGGTTTGAAAGAAAGGCAAAGACAGTATAGCGAGTGCCCTGACATTGACACGATGTGTGGTGAAGACACTGTCCACTGAGCCCAACAGAAGGGTGAGGGAGTTCTTCCCACTCATTTCCGCAGCCACCAGCTTGGTTCCAACCATCACTGGGAAAAGCAACAGGCCTAGTGGGATGCAGGAACGGGTATCACGGCAACTTCTATACCAGGAGATGCACTCAGTGTGGCACTGTCAAATACAGTCACAGCTGGCTCTTGCGTTCTTGAGCAAACCCGATGTACCAGTCCTGCAGAGGACCTAATGATGGTATCACATTGGATTCCTGAGAAGACCGTCTCTAGAAGCAAGGGCACACCTATTTTCCACATTGCTGGTCCTAAACCACTGTGAATAAATTTATGAATTAATGATTGAGACGCAAGGCTCTGTTAATAGAGACCCTAGGCCATAATCCCAGCTTGTGTGACCTTCAAGAACCCCCAGAAGTTCAGTTTCCTCATCTGTACAGTGGAGAGGAGAATGATAACTATTTCACAGGGTTTAGGATAGGATTAAATGATAAAGTGTTCCTGAATGTGTCTCATAAACTGTAAGAACGTAGTCTAACAACAGATTGTATTGGTTTAAAGCAATGCTGGGAAAAAAATGTTGTGTGTTCTGGAGGGTATTTTTGAAGGAGGAGAAACTCTTTGGAGCCAAAATAAAAACAGTGAAGGAAGGTCATGAATGATTAAGGGAGGTGAGTGTCTGCTACTGTCTATGGAAAACAGAAATCAAAACATAATTCCCTGAAAACAGAGAAATGGAGCTTTCAACTATTGAAAAACTCCTGGCAGCAGACCCTGGCCATCGTTCCTGCATAATGTCAATATGTTTCAGATTATGGATGGAGTTTACTTGGGGCACAGTCAGAATCCCCCAAAGCCGTCATTTGCTATTTTGAATGCTTTTCCAAATATGTAATATTCAAAATAAATGGTCAGATGCCACACACACCAAAAAAGAGAGCTCATGTTTTTAATAGCTTGTGAAATGCAACCATGGGGCTGCTGGTTGGGGTTGAAAGGAAGTAGCCCATAAACAACTCCTTCAAGCGTGACAGAGCATGTTGGAGCTAAGATTCACACAAAGAAAATTCATCCGTATTTCCAAGTGCATAGGTCCCTCCAACAAGATGACATCTTACTGGTAGAGACATTGAATTCTTTCAGAAAAGCCACAAGAGTACCTTCAAGCCCCGGTCTGAGAGGTATGGAGTTTAAGATGCAGAAGAAAAGTGGGATATATTTAATGCTTGCCTCTAGAATTGTTTATAACATTGGGGTTAGAATGGAACCTTTCTGTGGAGGGACATAATTTCAATTTATTTTACTTTGGACCAATGAAATGTGAGAAAAAGATGTAATTTTTAGGGAGTCATTCTTTTAGTTCCTTCTTTTAGTGTTTAGAATTATCTCACAAAGTGGATACATAGTCTATGCCAATAAGTCAGATTCCTTAATGAGACCTAACTCAATGCATTGAAGCCAGATGAGAAGACTAAGAGCTAAGATCTGTGATCTACCTTAATCCATCCAGTCAGCACTTACCACTATATCTGGCTCCTCTAACATCTTCTCATCTTATCCATCATCCTGATTCAGTGGGAGCCACTGCTTTTTTTGTCCTCCAGAATAGTTCAATCTCATTTATGGTTCTGCACTGCCCTCACAGGTGCACGACAGCTGCCTTGTCCCTACTATGTGACCCGACCCTCTGGCTGCAGTTTGTTGGTCCGGTGATGGGATCCATGCCAGATGCCAGGGAAATTGTCCCTGCAAAAATGTGCATCAGATCACAGAGATAGAGAGAGAGATAGAGATAGAGAGCGAGAGAGAGAGAGAGGGAGAGAGAAAGAGAGGGAGATGTTCTGTCCCCTGGACTGGTAAACAAGGAAGATGTTCAGCAAGAAACAGGAAATCAACACACACAAGAGACAGCAGGGAGAGGTCAAGACCATGGAGATTGGGGAGTCCCTGCACCCCAGTTGCAGATCCCCTTCCTGAAGCCCAGCTACCTCCAAGTCTTTGGAGCTGATGATGTGTCCCAATCATGAAGTCAATCAAATCTCCCAGTTTGAATGGAAGTTGCTTGGTTCAGGTTGGATCTTTACAATTGCAGCCTAAAGAGTTTCACCTAACATCCCTGTAACATGAGCCACAAAATTAAATTAGATACTACTTCTGGAACCCATCCTTTCCCACCCCCCATGTCTCTCAATATATCTGCTGAGTAAATTAGATTTATAACTGGAAAACCAGGAGAAACCATAGAGTACAACTGATTCTGTCCTGTAGCTTACCGAGAAGCACCAGAGAGGTTGACTTCCTCAAAACCCTGTTGTTTTGGTGGAAGATTCCTGGATGTAGCCATAGCATCTTAGGCATGAATCTTAGAATGTTCTGTTTTTCTCTCTTCCTCTCTCATTCTCTTCAGATAATTCTAGTTCCATTGTACTCCAAGAATGTACTCTAAGGAATCTTATCTAAGAATTTAAGTCCAGAGAGCACAGGGATGTAGTGTACAGTGGTGAGGAATCGTGGTTTGGGCACCAGATGGCCTGGATACAAGCCCAACCCTCTCACGTACTAGCTGGGTAATCTTAGCAAGCTAGCTCTACTCCTCTGAACTCCAGTTTCCTCATCTGAGAATGGGGATGAGAACACTCAGCCTGTGGAGTTGATGCTTGGGGCACCACCACCTAATGTGAGCTATGCCTTTCATTAAGGCCAGACCACCCCAGTAGTCAGTGACAGGGAGTACAATTCATAAGAACTTTCAGCCTCATCTGGTTGTAGCTTGTCAACCGCACCCCCTGCCAGTCTGGGAGGAGCCATACTGCCCCATGTGGGAACGAAGAAAGCAGTCGCATCAGAGATTAGGGGGAGCTTAAAAAGCCACCTGCAAGGCATTCCCAACACTTCCAAGTGCGCCAAAGGGACGCGTGCTAAAATGGGCTTTGTGGTGCTTTTTTAAACAGTTCTGTTTGTGACTTCTACATGTAGGTGACTCCCATTCACACCCGGGAGCCAAATCCGTCCCCTTAGGTATTCAGAAATACTCCACTGACTTCATAGCATTAATATGTTAACTATTTGAGAAATTTCTCTTTCACTTTGCCCATCCCTCATTTCACATGTCTTCATTTCTCACGCCAAACAAAAGCTCTCAGGAATTCCTTTTCTCACTAACATTGACGGAGAAAGAAATTAAGCAAAGCGGATATTTATTTAAGTGACTTGGCGTTGATTTAAACGCTAGTGATACATTTGTCCATCTTGCTCTGAAGATTGTTATTCCTGGTAATGTAATTGTCATGGATCATAACTACAGGACAAAGCAGGGCTTCAGCTGCCCTGCTTGTTGCAAGATGGCATGGCAAAGGCAGTGTTCTGACGGGGGAGCGTTTCCTGGAGAACAGAGCACAGTAGGCCCTTCCCAACATGAGATTAAACACAAATGAAAACTTGTCTGGAAACTTGGAAGCGTGCATCTCTTAAGTAGTGAGAGCACAGTGTTTCTTTTTTTTAGGACTAAATGCTATTGAATTAGTGGTATTCTCTGGTACCCACCCTGCAGCCTCCGGAGTAGCTTTACCTTCCATTCTTGCCCCAGGACCCCACCACCACATTTTCTCATCTGTGTCTTTGCATGTCCTTTTCCCTCTCACTGAAATCTTTCTTTTCTCCTTCCTTACCTCAAGACTGAAGTGATAATTCCTCATTCCTCAAGAGTAACTTCAAGTGCCAATCCTTGAACATTTTCCCTGAAAATTCTCAACCAAGTGGGGATCCCTGCTCTGGGTTCACAAACCTGTCTTCAGGGCCCGCTCAGTTGACAGGGGAAATCCTGACAATAGTGGATGCACCTGTCTGTTGCCCCACTAAGCATGAACTTCTTACTGCAGGGTCCACAATACATTCATTTCTGCATGTAACGTGTTCAGTAGCGACTGGCAAATGATTGACAGAGTCAATTCACGATCGATGAATGAATGGCCTTTCTGTTGTCAAGCAATAGAAATGAAGATTATGTTGTAACTAGACCAGCTGAGAGTTCCCTAACATTCCAGCCCAGCCTAAAGCACCCACAGGATTCATACAGGCAGGGGAAATCACATAGCAGGACAATAACTCCTCTCTACTCTTGGAAACCTTTTGTTTTAGAAACAATCAGAGATAATGGTGATATTTTCAGCATTATCTTTTCCTTGTTTCTTATTTCTAAATGATTTTTGGAAAAACAGGATGTTATTTACTGCAGGGTTCACTTATTTCTGCTCATTCACTTCCTCCGTCAACATGCTTAGTCCTTAACAGTAGGCACCAGGGAAAATGACAGCATCTACTACCCCTTATCAGGGATAAAGTACAGCCTCAGGTGAGTAATAGGCCCCATGTGCAAAAAAGCTATCACCACAAAGGTCTTCCTCCTATATTTGTGTCGGACCAACTGGGGAAAGAGAAAGCACACTCAAACCCTGCTCACGCTACAGATGTGTTCATAGGGGTTGTTTCATAAAGAGCCTGCCCTAAAGCCTCTTAAATAAGCAGCTCTGATCGCACAGGTTGGTAGAAGATGCAGCAACAATGAGTCGTCAAAGTAGAAACCAATTTGGAAGCCTCCTGCTTTAACTATTGTACCTGGAAGTTACCCAGACTAGCAAATTGGCCACCAAGAAACCTAGTGAGTTAATGACCAGTTTCCTTCACAACAGTCCTGGAGCTGAGGCTTCTGAGAAAGGCACTCTGCCCCTCCCGCCATGCACTGGGCTACCCAGAAAAGCTCCTTTGTGCCCAGGTCTCTAGGAAGTGTAGCAGGACAAGGAATCCCTCTGACATTCCATGATAACATCCCCTGCTTGCTAAATGCCTTCTCAAAGGGCGTCTTTACAGAGTCCTTTACAGGCCACTCCACCGCATTCAGAAGTAGACTCCTACAGCTGTTATGGGGAACAGTATGGACATTTCATATACGAAGAGTTAAGACACTACTTGCGACACTCACGTTTCGTGTTGGAGTGCCTGGATTCAATCCCAGCTTTGTTTCCAATTCTAGCTTTCTGCTAATATATACCTTGGGAGGTGCCAAGTGATGGCTCAAGTAGTTGGATCCCTACCATGCACATGGGAGATCTAAACTGATTTCCCAGCTCCTGACTTCACCCTAGTCCAGCCCAGTTATTCTGTGCATTTGAGGAATGAATCAGCGGACAGGAGTTCTCTGTTTCTCTTTCTCTCTCTCTCTCTCTCTGTATCAATCAATGCAAAATTTTTTTTCTTTCTTTCTTTTTTTTTTTTTTTTTTTTTTTTTTGACAGGCAGAGTGGACAGTGAGAGAGAGAGACAGAGAGAAAGGTCTTTCTTTACCGTTGGTTCACCCTCCAATGGCCACTGCGGGTGGCCTGCTGCAGCTGGAGCACTGTGCTGATCCGAAGCCAGGAGCCCAGTGCTTCTCCTGGTCTCCCATGGGGTGCAGGGCCCAAGTACTTGGGCCATCCTCCACTGCACTCCCGGGCCACAGCAGAGAGCTGGCCTGGAAGAGAAGCAACTGGGACAGAATCCGTTGCTCCGACCGGGACTAGAACTCAGAGTGCCGGCACTGCAGGTGGAGGATTAGCCTATTGAGCTGCAGCGCCGGCCAATACAAAAATTTTAAAAATAGAACTACTATCATGATCCAATAAACCCACTTCTGAATATACATCCAATGGAAATGAAATCAGTGTCTCAAAGACCTATCTGCACTCCCATGTTCATTGCAGCATTATTCATGATAGCCAAGATCTGGAAACAACTGAAGTGGAATGGATAAGGAAACTGTGGTACATATAAACAATGAAATATTATTCGGTTTAAGAAAGGAAGAAAAGGAGGATGTTTGGTGCAGCGGTTAAGACATTGCTTGCAATGCATGCATCCCATATATTCAAGTGCCTAGATCCACTGCCAATTCCAGCTTCATACTAATGCATACCCTGGAAGGCACAAGGGGATGACTCAATAGTTGGGCCCCAGCCCCCACATGGGAGAACTGGATTGAGTCCCATCTTTGGACTGTTGTGTGCATTTAGAACAATGAACCAGTGGATAGAAGGTGTGTGTGTGTGTGCATGTGTGTCTCTTCACCATTAAAATAAATTAAATAAAAGCAGACTTATCTGAGAGCCCAAGGATAGGAAGTGGCAGGATAAGAATGAAAAGGCTCCACTATATAAAACTGTTTATTCATGTGGAAGAAGGAAATCCTGTCATTGTGACAACATAGATGAACCCAGAAAACATTATGCTGAGTGAAATAAGTCAGCCACAAAGTCCAAGTTTAGGCCCACCCTCTCTGTCCGTTCCGTTCTCAGGATGTGACCAGTCCAATACCTGCTCTCTCTGTTGCCTTCCACCACCCTCCCATCAAAGGCCAAACCAATGGGGCCATCTGTTCTTGGACCTGAATCTTCAAAACCATGAGCTAAATAAACTTTCCTTTCCTCATAAGTAGTTTATCTCAGGTATGCCGTTGTAGTAATGCATGCTAATACATTGTGCAGTCTTGAGAAGTCAACTCGATAGCAGACAGAAAAATCCTTTGTTAGCAGAAAAGGGGAATGGAGGAAATGGAAGATGGTGTTCAAGGGGTGCACACCTTCAGTTATGAAATGAACAAGCTCCGGGGTTCCGATGCATAGCCTGGGCAGTGATGTAGGTTGCATGTTGTGGCTGGGGTTTATTCCCTAGAGGTTCATATGTTGGCAGCATGGTTCTCGCTGTGGTGATGTGAGAGGTGGTGGGGTCTTTAAGACTTGAGGCCTAGTGGGAGGTCTTTAGGTCACTAGGGGAAGCCACCCTCAGAAGAGATGAAGGCAACTCTCATGGAATCCCTGAGTTCCACAAGAACCTGAACATGACTGCAATTACTCTCTGACTTCCTGTTTTAAAATGGGATCTCTCGCTCCTACACCCACCCCTAGCACTGTGACACAGTTAGACATGAGATCCTCACCAGAGCTCTACTGATGCCAGCACCATGCTTTCACAACTCCACAACTGGAGCTAACAAAACCTCTTTTCTTTATAAAGTTATCCATTTTCAGGTTTTTCATTCTAGCAATTAGAAATAGACTAATACGTATATGTCCACTGATCTGATTATGATAATCATTCCGTGATGTACACATGCATGAAACAGCCACATTGCACACTCTGAATATATTCATTCAAACTGAAATAGTGATTTACCTATACTCTATGAACAAAATGCTCAGTGAGATCAATCAACTTGTCTAAGACCTAGTTTCCAGGAAGCTGCAAGGCCAGATTCTAATAAAATTGACTCCATAGATACAGCTCTTCTTGGAAATCTTGCTACACCTCCACAGGGGA